CTTAGCATATTGATGTAGTTATTCGGACTTCACAACCTCAATTAACATCAAAGGGTTTATATAAAAAAAAATAAGCAGCCACCATCTTGAGTAGGAGGAACATGTTCTGGAACTGTAGTAGGATCTACTCGTGTCTATTGGACGGGGAGTATGGAGAATTATTGAACAAGATGAGGCTTTAATAGCCTTTAATCTGGTTAGGACCCTCACATAAATAAATAAATAAATGAATAAATAAATAAATAAATAAATAAATAAATATAGTTAATGTGATGAAGGATTAATAGTTAAACTTTCTCACAGTAATATGAGTAGCCCTTACGTATCCACATAATTACACATAGCCTTACTTTCTAAAAGGTGTTCTCATCTACGGTGGACTACAGTTTCGACCGCAATGGAAACGTGAGGACTATAAATATAATTGTGGGAAGCTTCAACTGGCGGCTCTTTATCGTCTCAACGAAATAGGATTAACACATCTCATAAAACGAATTTATCGTCAACTTTGGTTGTTGTTAACGTCCCAGTAGAAATAAACAATAACAGACCAAGGGGAGTTTGCTGTTTCTATATGTTGAGGTCGACCAACGCTTCTCGTCATCGCACCCTCCCTTGAAATGGGAATCAATTCAACATGATACGCTTCAACGGTAGGCTCAGGGCGGCTGGAGTGAATGTGATAACTCGACGGCCAGGTAAATGAGTCAGGATGGGAGATTCTCATAAGTTGACTTTATTCCATAAGAAAGTGTTATAAGATGAATACGATGTAATATCATCTCCGATGATGACATTATGTCTAAAATGTTAAGGATGTTGGGGCAGCTAAGGTTACAGATGACACTACAAAATAAGTCCCAATACCCTGAATTTGTGTTCGATTGAGAAAATCTAGCCCTTACTAAAAGGAATAAGAGCTATAGTCACCCCATGCAGGATATGGTGATGAAGGATGGATAGTTGAAACTTCTCACAACGATATGAGTAGCCATCAGATTCGGACTCAATTAAGTAAAGTGACTCATGCCAAATTCCACCTATTAGATATATATCTCCTTAACGCGACACCGGAGCTGGGTCTCAGATTTTCAATTATTCATCTCGATGATTTATTAGTATGGTTAATTGTCACCGAAAGTACCATATTACGCACTACGCTTTTTTCCGCCGCCATTGGTCGCTTAAACCCAGACAACTAGTGAATTTCATCGACTCTTAGGGGTTGGCAGTCAGAGTACTTACTCTGGCAGTATTTATCACAACAAATGATCAATCTCTCAGACTACACCTACTGGCCCAAAAATATTACTACTACTATCTACTGACACCAATAACAAACCAAACTCTCATATCTAGCAAAGGATTTAGTAGCAAAAGGTTCTTACTGCTTATGGAATGCCGCCGTAAAGAGGAACTCTTGCTACTGAATACTCTGCAGAATTTGGAAGTTGATTTCTGACTGTTGTCGAGACGTTAATCAGTTTTGAAGTTAGCATGTAAAAATTCAGTGGATTTGAGGATAGGTTAGCATAGCTAGCGAAACAAAGCCAAACTTCATGAGGTAAACATCTTAGCAAGCAAAATATGAATGTATGTTGTCCAAAATATCTATCTACAAAAGGAGAAATAAGCTATGAATATATAATCTCACAATTGTACATCCTACGTCCGTAGTCAACTCGCCAATCCAATCATCAGGATCATTGGCTTCCAGTCCAAATTCAGCATTATCATCATCGAAGTATGGTGCATCATCTATGTTGATATCTTTTCCTGGATAATTTGGCTGCCAAGGTGGCAAGTGGCAAGTGGCGAAGTCATCGGTTGAGGGGAGGCCATCTATAAGGCGTCCAAGATGGAACCAAGAAGAAATTCGTCGGATCGGTTCTAAAACTATTGGATAGTTGAGTTTATAAAATTTTATTTTGTATTGTATACAGTAGAAGGAATTTGGAGGCTTGCACTTGACCCTCGCAGACATACACACAGGCAATTAACTATAAAGTGACATAACTTTCCATTTCGTAGCAAAAGTTGACAGGAAGGAATTCGCGATGTGATCTCACTGGAAAACTGAGAATTGCTGAGTAGGGAAGACTGTTGTATTGTGCGAAAAAGACCTCGGCTGTGCTAAACTTTCTTTTGTACAGTGACAGACATCATCAAAGCAGGAATGCATATTTCACGAGATAGAGCAAAAATATACCAAGCCAAGGTGACCGACTACAACAATATTTGCTCTTTTTATAGAAGTAACTTCGCAATCTAAATGAGGCCACTTCAACCTTACACTACATGCTTGCAAATGAGTGAAGTTTTGAGCTTACTTCAATTTCGAGTAAAAGTGTTTGGTAAAGAGATTCGAAGGTCGATTCCGCCAGAAGACGACGGCGGATTCCTCTTGACCAGCTGTCGATTGGCTTTACTGGAACATTCATGGTGACAGTTTTTCCAAGGTAATCTCCTTCGACTCCTGTA